TTGATACAAACATACTGTTTCTTTTTTAATTAAAAAAGTCCATAGTTAACAATAATAAACCAATACATAACAAAAAAAAAAGTCCATAGTTTACAGTTTTAAAACAAAAACAGTCCATAGTAATCATATTTCATAAAATACTCAAAGCCTTCAATGACTTCCGGCCTTCAATACAATCACCACCAACCTTCATGATTATAAGTTGCTGCCTCTAATCAATTAATCATCATCAACAAAGAGAGAGTGTTCCTCACCAAGAGGTAACATTTCTTCAAAAAAAAAAATTAAAAAAAAGTTAATGAATAATTAACAAGATAATGAGATTAAAAAAAAGAGAAAATATTTAAATGTTACCTGATTCAATTTTTTCCATATCTTCAAGTCTCTCCTCAAGTATAAGAGGACCTTGAGATGTACGTAACCAATCTTGTGCACAAATCAAGGCTTCAACCATCTTAGTTGAGAGTGAGCTGCGAAATGAATCAAGCACTCGACCACCGGTGCTAAAAGCTGATTCGGAAGCGACTGTTGATACGGGAATGGCAAGTACATCTCTAGCCATGAGAGCTATTGTTGGATACCTTTCACCATATTTTTTCCACCACCCCAAACAATCAAAGCTTTTTTCGGCGGGATTAACTTCTCTATCATCTTCTAAATACTTGGCCAACTCATTTTTCCCTTGTACTCCAACACATGAACCCACCTGCCTTTCAAACTCTAATTCCGCAACATCTACATCAGAATCCATATCTTCTACTTCCTCCAAAAAATCAGAAGTTTTAGGGAGAATAGACTCATTTGGAGGGTTTTCAGAAATATAAATTTCATACATGTCATTCAGAGTTTGCATCACTTTATCACACAAGTACTTAGCTTTTTCAGAATCATATTGTTGATTAATTGCCTATTTAGTATATCCCATTTTTCGCCTAGGATCAAGAATGACAGCAATATACAACAAGAGATTCACATTATCAACATTTTCCCAATACTTGTCATGCTTTTTCTTCATTCCACTAGCCATTAAACTCACCCCCGCATCATTACTCAACATTTTTTTCTTGATTAACACACTAATCCCAACAAGTTCTTGTAAATACACATTAGAGGTGATATACAACGAGCCGAAAACTCGTAGAGTAGCATCATAGAATATTTTAAGTAAAGGAAGAAAAGAGGCAACACGATCCCAATCACTAGGTTCAGGCACCCCGCCTGTCTTAAGTAACTCATACCTAAATTTACCACCATCTGAACATTCAAGCAAATCAAAAGCCCTACGATATGCCAAAGCACCTTCCAGCATTAAAAAAGTGGAATTCCACCTAGTATCCACATCTAAACAAAGAAAACGTTTTGACTCCAACTTTTTTTGTTTAACACAACTCATGAACTTTTGCAATCTAGCACCCGATGATCTTACATACCTAACAGCACAACGAATTCTTTTTATTGACACATCACTTTCTTTCAATCCTTCTTTAACGGTTAAACTTAATATGTGAGCACAACATCTCATGTGTAAAAACCGACCACCCAAAACTAATGTCTTCCAACTTTCAAACCTTCTTTTCAAATATTGAATGCCAACATCATTTGAACTTGCATTATCTACAGTGACAGTCATTACTCTAGAAATACCCCATTCAAGTAGACACTTTTGGACAGATTTACCAATTGTTTCACCAGAATGACCAGCAATTATACAAAAATTAATTATTTTTTTATGCAATTTCCAATTTTGGTCAATAAAGTGAGCGGTTAAACACATGTAATTCATATTTTGGCAAGAAGTCCAAGTATCAGTGGTGAGACTTATACGTGAAGTGCACTTACTAAAAAAACTTTTCAAACTTTTTTTCTCATCCAAATAAATCCTAAAACAATCTCTAGTCAATGTCCATCGAGAAGGAATAATGAAAAAGGGTTGCGTTACCTTCATAAAATTGCGAAAACCTTCATGCTCCACCATTCTAAAAGACATTTCATCCATGATCACCATCTTTGTCAGAGCTCTCCTACTATCTTCTTGATTGAATTTCCACAGCTCAAGTCTACCTTTTTTTTTATCCACGAGATTCCCATCAAGAGCTTGTTGACTAAGGGACAATAGTTGCTGATTTTGATCAATGTTTGGGGGGTATTCCTTACACCGCTTTATGTGGTTCTTCATGCCGGAGGTACCTTGAAGTGATGCACAACCAATGAATGTATGACAATAGATACATTCAGCCTTGTTTTCTCCATCCTTCTTTATAAAATGCTCCCAATGAGGAGAGCGCCTTTTTCTAGATTTTTTTGAAGTTTCACTTAAGGGGGCAGCAGCATCAGCAGGTTCAGAAGGTTGGTTTGATTGATTTTGCTGGTCAAAGGGGTCATTATTTTCCGTCATTGGACAAGGGTCATACTCCCAAGGCTCGGGAGGAGGACTTGGAATTGGAGGAGCTTGACTTGTAGCCGATGAGTCTTCCATATCCCCACTACTTCCAGATTCCATACACTCCTACAAATGAAAAAAAAAAACAAATAAGTTCAATCATGTATACACAAATAACAAGAATGAGTCATAGCTATATGAGGGTTGAAAGGGTGAACATCTAGGACATATGTCTATTAGAAACAAACAGGACAAAAACTTTTCCACGTCACACAAATACACAATCATAAAATCTCAGACAAGCAAGTGAAATAAAAAAAAACTATTGGTACAACTACACCATATAATCACTCTGTGAGCCTTGCAGTACCTTAGGCAAGTATTACTAAAAATGAGTCCAAAAGATGATGTACACAGCCACACAAGTTACTGTTAAACCAAATTCCAGCTGACGAATATTACTCAATTCTGTTAAACCATACATTGACAGATTAACCTGAGTAGAAGCAACTAGATAAATCATATTGGACTACATGATTATCATATTGGACTACAATAAATCTTAAAACGTTTTCTTAAAATGCTTGTAATTAACTCATGTTACAATAAATCATATTGGACTACATGATTATCATGTACAACTCTATAGATGCTCAACACACAGGAAGCCATCACACAACACTATAGATGCTCAACAACATTGGTACACAGCAACTATAGATGCTTAGCAACATCACACAACAACCACTCTGAATCCTTGTTTTTTCTCAACAACCTTATTTCCACATCAAAAACAGAAATCTCACCTTACTCACTCATCTAAATCTAACAGACACAACTTGACAAAAAATAATAAAAAAAAAACCTCAATTCTGAAAACCATAATAAGTACCATTCCTCCCAAAAAAAACAAAAAAAAAATTAATAGTACCACAATAAAAAATCAGGAAAAAAAAAACAATTACAAATCCGAAAAAACCACAGATAGTCAGATACTATAAAATGTAAATTACCTCAACAGTGAAAGCTCAAAAGCCGCTTCAATGGAGAGCCGAAGTACGCTTCAATGGAGGAGATGAAGGAGTGAAAGCTCAGAGCCGCTTCAATGTAGGAGATGAAGGAGTGAAAGCTCAGAGCCGCTTCAATGGAGAAGTCGAAGTACGCTTCAATGGAGGAGATGAAGGAGTATAGGCGTATAGCTCAGAAGCCGCTTCAATGGAGAAGTCGAAGTACGCAGAGCCCTAAATTGAATCTGCGATTTGTGAAATTAAAACAAGAGTTTAAGTTTAATTGAATTTAATCAATTCATTGCAAATAATTAGATCTGGCAAAGGGATAATTAGTTAATTACCTGAGGACATTAGGAGATGAAGGAGTGAAAGCTCAGAGCTGCTTCAATGGAGGAGATGAAGGAGTGAAAGCTCAGAGCCGCTTCAACGGAGGAGATGAAGGAGTGAATGGAGATTGGAGAATGGAGATTAGAGAACCAGAGGCAGAGACATTAGAGAAGAGGAGGAGAGAGAGGGGGATGGAGGCTGAGTGAAGTGAATGACTGAGAAATGAGAAAAGAACGAAGTTTAGGGTTTTCACTTTTTTGTTCTTTATATTCTGTTTCTTTTTTTCTAAAAAAAACTGACATTTTTCATTTGAGATTTCAAAAAAAAATATTTTCGAGACATTCGGGTACCCGAACTGTTAAATTCTTATCGGTTCGGTTACCCGACACGTTTTCTTTAAACGGTTCGGGTACCCAATTTTTCGATTCGGTTACGGTTTGGTTTATCGGGTTTTCGGTTTTTCGGATAGTTTTGCACAGCCCTATGTGCAATTGGCTGTGTAACGGCCTTATAGGAGTGTGATGGTGCGAAGTCAAGGATATTTCACGAGTACGATCGCATACAGCCCAATTGCACTGCCGCAAGTGAGCCCCTACACGTGTTGTTGCAGCTCAGCATTCTAGACTACTCGTACACTCGTACATTAAGTTATTAATGTTGCCTGGACGTTGCCAAACATAACATATGATTGACTTCTCACAACAACGTTGCTGTAGCAGGCTTGGATGACACACCAGCAAAGTATGCATCGTTCATTGGTTTAGACTTGCTTGAAGCCTTGTATATGCCATAAGATGACGAGGTGTTCCAAACGGAGGGTTGTGAGACAATAAAATTATGTCTCACAAGGGCAATATAGGCATTTCAGACGTCATTTTAGAGATGTCTCATTGAGTTGTTAAATCATACCACTGGAACTTCAGTGGTAAAAAATACACTCTCAGTGGTATAAAATGTAGTCTCAGTGGTATTAAAAAAATTCAACTAGAGTTTCAATTGAACAAAATATAGACTCAGTGATAGTGGTCCCGTTAAATTTTTTGTCCGTTTTGCACGTGAAGTGGGGCCCACACTACATTTTTCACTCTTCCTATCTCTCTCCACATTTCTCTCTCTTCATTGTACCTTTTTATTTTTTAAATAGTTGTGAGACATTTTACTTTGTCTCACAATACTCCCTTTTTACTTCGAGAAAGTATAGACCACTACCAGGTATGGACTCTCATGTCCAATACCTGAATTAAAATATTATATTTTTTTATTTTTTAAAGGGAAATGAATTTTGCAAAAGGTAATTGGAGTGACAGCTGGGTAAAACATTTCACCCACTAAAACGCGTTTCCCAAATAGCGTTTTGGAGGGTTTAGCTTAGAGCTTTTTCAGAGGTTTCAAATAGCGTTTTCCGGTGGTATTGGAGCATGAAAGAGCTAAAAATCACTTCAATTTCAGGTAATAGCTTCTGGGTTAAGCTTGAAATTTCTCCATAGCAAATCTTTGTGTTAATTTCAGTAAATGTCAATGTAGATCTACAATTTCTAGGGTTTATCTTTGTGCTTTTCATCGAAGTTTTTCCATTCTACAGTTGAATTTGGTGTTGTTACTCTGTAGAAAATTGATGAAAACTTGGAGGAAATGTTGACGAATCGCCCCAAGTAATAGAAGCTGATGAAAGCTTGGAGGATGAAGAACCTGATGTATGTTGACTTTGCTTTAAGTTTGTTCATTCATGCCATCAACATTTTATACTTTTATCCAAATTTAATGGTAATTAACTTAATTTTTATGAATTGAGAAAGTAAGATCAGCCAAATATTGGGATGAATGTGTTGTTTTTGTACAGCTTCGGATGGTTGGTTTTGATTACATTAATTCTTCCAGAATGTTATAATACTACGGTACTACCAGAATGATATTTTCTACCAGATTCATATATTGCTTATAATCGAATGTTGGGATTAATCTGAGTGTTGGTGTTGGTTGTTTGGTGATGATTACTATTTTTTTTTTTGTTTCTTTTGATAGCAGTAGAATGGAGAAACTACTCCCTCATTCTATTACAATTAATACTATTGCAATTAAAACTTCAATGAAACATTAGAAGCTCTTCTTTTACGTCTTGTATAAGATTTCTCCCATCCTAAATCCCCATAAGATCTCCTTGCAGCCACCTTTGCACATGCCTTTCTTGAAAGTGGATCTGAAATTAAGCAACTTTCTGCTCTTAATCTGTTGTAAGCTATGCAGCCGCGCTTTGAGCATGTTTAGCTCCCTTCTTCCACGAATCTGCCTGATTTTTCCTTCTGTACTCCCCTCTCCTTCCTTGCTCAGAACCCAGCTGCCCCATATTTCTTTACCCTTCACACTGCAGGCCTTAACTCTCAGTTGCGCTTTGCTGCACTCCTCCCTGCCAGCTGCCCCATATATCTATAACTCTTCCAATTCAACTTCCTATGTATATCAACTGTGAATTTGAATCTAATTATATTTGGCTTTAGCATGACATACAATGCTATAGTCTAGTATGATACTGGAATATGAAGAATATAACTACTAGAATACGATGCAGCAGATGATCAATGACCACTTAATTTGTTCCCAACATAAGATCATGTAGTGGCCTAGTGGGTGTAGTTACATGTCATTATAATTTGGAGAATAATGCTGAATTATAATTGGATAATTAATAAAGATCTTGGTTATATGTTGGTGGGGTAGATTGATTTGGTTAATAAACTGTATAAATGTTCACATAATCACATAGTGAACGGAAAATGCACCTGTAATTGTTCTAAATCTCTAATTAGTTGTTGATGTTGAGACTTGCAAATTGATTATGATATGTTGGAATGTGTTACAAAATCTGGTTGTCTTGCTTAAACTTTAGATTTAAATGCATAGTATACATGTAATCTGGCTTGTCTTGCCTAAACTCTAGATTTGATTGCATATTCTAAACGTAATCTGGCTTGTCTTGCCTAAACTCTAGAGGCCCTCATTTTCTTGCATTGGATATTGTTTTGATAATTTAGTATTACAAGTGTCATTTTTTACAATGACCATTTGCTTTTTGATAGTTGATTATATTTTCTTTTCTATTCTTAAATTGTAAATTCCAAGTTATGGATCGTATAGGTTGAATGTGAAGTGGAGGTAAGGGAAGGACAGCACCTACTGCCAAGTGGAATAGACATACGGCCATCATGTGATACATAGGAATGAGAGGTTTCAGAATTGTTTGGACGCCTTTGGTACACCTGTAGGGGAAGGTTGGAGTGTTGAAAATGGAAGAAGGGAAGCAGGAGGAGGTTGTGAACCGTCTGGAAGCGGGTATGGTATCCTCAAGCTAGGTTGAGGCTGACAAATACTTTAGGCAGTATGGGAAGCAACTTTGTGTTAGAGTCTTTGTTGCTGCTGGAAATTCTAAAATAGAGGAGGGTAGGCTGACAAATACTTTAGGCAATATTGGAACCGTCCGGAAGTTCATACTGATATTTTTGTAAACTGCTGTCCTTGAAGTATATACTGTCATGTTAAATACAAATATAGTTATATTTAGAGGAACACGATATTTAAGGAATTATACTACACTTTTTATTCTTTTATTTTACATGAATAATTTTATTTGTAATTACATCAATCCATACTACGTATTTGCCATTTATCTTGTTAAAGGTATATCTTTTTAAAGTTCGTCATGTGAATGACATGAATTTAATTTTGTAGATATGCCTTCACATCTCTTTTAGGGAGTTTCAAATAAATTAAAATATTCTAACATAAAAATGGTACTAGTATTAGATTATTTTTTTTTTTTTATTATTATTATTTTTTTTTCAAATGGTACTCCGTATTAGATTACTTATGGAAGTATAAATTTTGTATGTGGCTAGCAATACGATGTAGCCACATTAGTTTTTAAGAGTAATCTTAATTTAATTATATGTATGAGAAACCTTATTTTCTCATAAGAGTAATTCATGTTGTCCATAAATGTCATCTAAATTCATTATACGAGTAAAATCTAGTAATTTAAATATAAATAATTCCATTTGTTCATTCGGGTGACCTTTATTATTTCAATTTTAAAAATAATAAAATAATTTTACTTATTTAAGAGAGTAACCCCTTTTTCAATATAAGTAACCTATGTATATCAGTATATGTTTAGGTAACTCCATTTGCTTATCATTGTGACCCCTATTATTACTTAATTAACTGTCTTATATTTTATTATGTAAAGTGGTTACACCATGTGGTTAGTTACATATACGTAATGCATCTTACATTAAACCAGAATCTCAATAGTTGATAACCGTATTTATCATATAATAATTGTATATCATATTAAAAGAACGGTTTTACGGAGTACATAACAATATTTTTTTTGAGAAAAGGATATAACAATATATATGGGTATATAATAGACCTTTTTTTGACTTGTGCATCAGGTTGCTACTTTAATTTAACTCTGTGACTATATGTATTTAATATATTTTTATTTTGGTAAGGAGGAGGGCCCTATCGAGCCGGAATCTCTCACAGGTCCTCTCGTCTCGGGATAGCGGGCGAGACAGTTTGGAAGAGTGGGGGGAAGATAAGGGAATTCCACTCTCTCAAACTATCACTAATAAGGATTGAACTCCCAACCTCATGATTCGAAGGTACTCTCTTTTCCACTAGACAGACCAAGCTTGGATTAGTGTTGACATTACACACTGTTATTGAAATTCATATACTGTTATACAAATTTTTGACACGATTATTGTGTTCATATATACTCCTCCTTCGTTTTTTAGTACTTGTATTATGTAACACTCACTTATTTTCCTAATTCATATACTATTATTGCAATCCATATACTGTTGTACAATTTTTGACACGGATATTTTTTCATATGTACTGCACCTCCTTCGTTTTTAGTACTTGTATTATGTAACACTCGCTTATTTTCCTAATTCATATTCTATTATTGCAATTCATATACTGTTATACAAATTTTTGACACGGTTATTGTATTCATATGTACTCCACCTCCTTCGTTTTTTAGTACTTGTATTATATAACACTCACTTATTTTTCTAATTCATATACTATTATTGCAATTCATGTACTGTTATACAAATTTTTGACACGGTTATTGTGTTCAAATATACTGCACCTCCTTCGTTTTTTAGTACTTGTATTATGTAACACTCACTTATATTCCTAAATCATTTAATAAAAGTGGATTTTAAATGATTTAATACGTAGAAAATGTGGCTGAAAGATTTAATCAAGTAAGCAATGGATACATTAACAACAATGGTATTAATTAAGTTGGCTATGTTCGCAATTATTGTAACATATTCATTTAAAGAAATATTGCAAGCATTTAAAAACAAAAGAAGTACCAATTGGTTGTAGGTATAGTGGTGATTAAGAGTGATGACCTGGATTATGGAGGGGACTTAGGGGTGCTTATTGAGTTGAGAAGCTTGGAGCAACTCGAACTCGACTCGCTCAAATTAAGTCAAAACTTGACTGGAGAGTCGAGATGTTAACGAGCACGAGTTGAGCAAACTCTAACTTGACTCAATAATATAAGCTCATGAGCAACTCGATAATACTCCCTCCGTCCCCAAATGATAGTCCCTTATGGGCAAAAATCACGGGAATTAAGAAACTTAAATAAAAGTAGTAAAATTACATTGAAAATATAAATTTACATTGGGTATGTAAAATAGTAAATAGAGAAAGTAATAAAAGTACATTGAAAAACAAAATTTACATGGGAAAGTTAAATTTGCACAAATATTGTTGTAATTAATGGAAATTTTGATAAAAAATTGATATTAATGGTACTTCAAAAAAGCAAATGGGACTATCAATTTGGGACTAAAAATAGGCCATAAGGGACTATCATTTGGGGACGGAGGGAGTATAGATTATTATTATTATTATTATTATTATTATTATTATGAATAATAATAATAATAACAATAATAAAAATAATAACAATAATAATAATCAAATAATAATAATAATCAAATAATAATAATAATAATAGTAGTAGTAGTAGTAGTTAATAAATAATAATAATAATAATAATAATCAATAAATAAATAAATAATAATAATAATCAATAATAATAATAATAATAATAATAATAACAATCAATAAATAATAATAATAAATAATAATAATAATAATCAATAGATAATAATAATAATAATAATAATAATAATAAATAATAATTATGATAATAATAGTATATTTTTCTTAAATATTTTAATATGTAAATTTGTATATACACATATGTATAATAATAAAAAATCAATAAATAATCAAAGATCACTAATCTATAGTTAAAAATCACTAATTAATAAGTTCAATTCAGTTCAGTTCAGTTCAGCTGAGTTCAGTCAATGAGAACAGCCCCTAAATCTCTAATGATAGAAATATTAAAAATATATATATATTTATATATATATATATATATAGTGAACAGAACCAAAAAAATACTTCCTCCGTTTTCTTTTACTTGCAACACACCTTTTAGGCGCGCAGTTTTAGGAGATGATTAGTGAGGGTAAACGAGCGATTTTATCAATATAATTTTTACACGAAGATTAGAATAGGGTTACGTATCATTTGTAAAAATTATAATGAATAATTTATCCGTTTACATTACATAAACCCGACCTCAAAACACGTGCCACAAGGCTGTGTTGCAAGTAAAAAAAACGGAGGAAGTAATAATAATAATAAAATCATATAATATAGAAGGGTCAAACTTTAACGAGAAGATCGTGAGCTACTTAACTCGACTTGACTCGAAACTTTAATGAGCACCAGTCGAGTAAGTTTTATTAGCTCAAAACTTTAGCAAGCAAGAGTTGATGAGCACGTGTAAAAAATTTTCGACACGGTGCTGTGACATTACATACTGTTATTATAATTCATATATTATTATTGCAATTCATATACTTGTTATACAAATTTTCAACACGGTTATTGAGTTCATATATACTCCACCTCCTTCGTTTTTTGGTACTAGTATTATGTAACACTCACTTTTCCTAAGTCATTGTTAGGACTTAGGAGCATAATGTTATTTCAATTTTGATACAGTTCAGGACCTGTTCTCAGGCGTTGAAATTCAGTTCAATTCAGTTCAACTCAGCTTAGCTCAGTTCAGTTCAGCTCCTAAATTCCTTCTCTTATAAAATACTCCCTCCGTTTTTTTTATATGCATCATTTTGAAAATTGCCCTATTCACATATCATGATTGACTTAATTTTTCCACCTATAATAAATAAATAAATAAATATTACTATATAATATATCATTAGATTTGTAATGTCTAGTTTCATAATATAATTTTGTTTCAATTTTTTTTACTAATACACAATTAATGATATTAATGGTCAAAGTAGTGTCTCGGCAAATGTGCCGCTCAAACTGATGCATATAAAAAAAACAGAGGGAGTATTCATTTCATTTCATTTCAGCTCAGCTCAGCCGAGTTCAGTCAATGACAACAGGCCTTCAGTATACCCATACATATTGATAAAAAGACAAGGTAACGAGCACCCCAGTGACGTTAGATAAGACGACTAAGGGTCTGTTCTCATTGACTGAACTTAACTAAATTTATCTGACTTTATTAAAACTTATTTTAGTTGTAATTTGAACTTGAATAACCCTTATTACAACTTATTTTTCCTTATCTGAACTTATTAAGCCTTAAATAAAGTGAAAATTAGGTGAACATAACAAATCCTCAAAGTAGAACTATTAACTTGAAATAAACATTAATTTCACCGATTGAGTCGAAATGTTAGGAAGTATATTCGATTGTTATCTAACTATTTAGGGCGTATGCTAGCAAGATCCTTATAAAAATTGGATTATTATTAATAAATAGTTGTAATTTTACAATATCATTCCTAAAAAAAAATAGAAAAATTACAATGCTTTTATAACTAGGATTACAATCAAGCCACAATATGTGCCAGCGGCAGCTCCTTTCTTCCGCGACATCCAACTTGTCCTTAAACATCAACAATTAGGATCAAGATCATTCACAATTCATCATAGCATTGCATAAGCAATCCAAGATATTAAAAAAAATAAAATAAAATTATAACTACCAACTAATACAATGTGCTACATAGCCAATCAAATTAATCCATACCAAGAATCTGAATCAAAATATCCTTCTATTTGGATCAATATATAAAAGACTTATGTTTAATTCAAGGTTCCTAGCAATTGAGGAAAGTGGGTAATTCACTCAGTTACTATAAGTGAAGCAAAATCGAACACCTTCCACCTACACAAAGTATTCAAATACAACAGATTAATCAAAATATGCACATAATTATTATATCAGCATATAAAGAGTTGATTTTTTTTTATTTTTTATTTTTTTTTTAAGCAAGCAAGCAACGATTTTATTAGCATAAATCAATTTTCGCCAAATTTATTAAACTTTAGGGAAAAGAAGACATACAAAATTGCTCTTAAGAGTTAGAAGTATCCAAGGCCAACGAGCAGCACCTTGGTGTTTGCCTTTGATCGCATTCACAACACTCAAAGCATCACTTTCGAGTATCACGTTGCTATAGCCAAATCTCCTCGCCAATTGCACACCATAAGCCACTGCCCTGACTCAGCCATTTTGGGAGTCTACTTCAAATCAATGCTCTTGATAGCAGCAAGAAGAATACCACCAGCAACATCTCTAACAACCACACCATAACTAGCACTCACCCCCTCCAAAATATGGGCATCAACATTAACCTTAACAGCAGGGGCAGTTAATGTTGATGACACATAGTCAGTGCACAACTTGACAAAGCCAGTCGCTACACACACCGGGCCCTCCACTCCACAAGCTTTTTATACTAACCATAACCCAGCAGCATCAAGCACAGAAAGAAATTTAAGTAATACTTGTACATCATAGTGTTTTTTTTAAGGAAATATCAGAGTATACTCTTCAATAAATATCTATATTCGGAATCAAAAATTGAAATTTAGTTCTTCAATAAATTCCAGCAACAAACATTGGTAGCTTGGAATTAAGAACTTATATATAATTCACAGGGTTTCTACAATTGATTATGATTAAAAAGAAAAGTCTGACAAATCCACTAACAAAATTCAACATCATTATCATAATCATATTCTTTAATTTCAGCAAAGATTAATTTCATAAACAATATTTCATACAAAAAAAAGTCAAATCATTCAAAGATCGAGAAAAACCTTTTTCCCGGCAACCTCGACCACCTCAGCGGCCTCGACTCGGCGCCCTTCCACCTCTTCTTCCTCCACCTCGACCGGGACCTTATTAAAGCAAAATTGCAAAACCCTTAATACTTAAATTTGCATAAACAGTTAATACTTAAATGTTATCCAAAATCCGTAAAATGAAAACCCTTTCTATACACTATATCAAAATCCCTAGATTGAAAACCATAAGTTGAATTTACTTTCGAAATCCCTAAATTGAAAACCCTAGAATGTATACCCTCTTAATATCCCAAAATTAAATACACTGATTTCGTATAGTAGCATTACCTGACATTAGCAAAGTTTGAGTTACCAATCACAAATTCACAATTTGGTAGCTTCACCGGGTTTTTGAGCAGCGTTACCACTCACAATGTTTCGAAATTGAGAGCGTTTTCCGGAGCGTTTTGGAAGAGAGAGAAACTAAATATTTACAGCTTGCCCATTTGGTAACTTTTAATGATTACTGTCCTAATATAGGTCAAATGACGATTATACCCCTAGGTATTAGACATGAGAGTCCATACCTGGTAGTGGTCCATCATGCCTCTTTTACTTCCTCTAAGGTGACACACTCCCTTCGTCAAAATTGTGTGTGGATAAGAAAGATAAGAAAACCATTAATTTAAACTTTCGTTTGCGTGTATTACATTATTCCCAAAAAGATTTATATTTTAACACATCAAAGAAGTTAAAACATGAGGAAAAGTATAAGGTAAATTTAGGACTTTTGGAGTGAAGAGTCATGAGAGTGTGAACTCTATGAAGTCTTAGGCCCTGTTTGGTTTGATGTAAAATGTTTTCATGAAAAATGAATTTTTCATTTTTTCCCATTTTCCTTTGTTTGGTTTGTTAAGGAGTGGAAAACAATTTTCAAGGGTGGAAAATTCCATCCTTAAATGATGGAAAACATTTTCCTTCCAAAAACAAGGAAAGCCACATTTTCCTCTCTCCTCCTTACCTCTTTTTTTACTTCCCTCTCATTTATCCTTACATTTTCACTCTTATTTTTTATTTTTCTTGGACTTTTTTTGTATGCAACCAAACAAAGGAAAACTAATTTGCAATTGTGTGTTTTCCTTGAAAATATGTTTTCCATGAAAACTAGTTTTCCATTGAAAATGTTTTACATTAAACCAAACGGGGCCTTAGTGACAAATTTCGGGTACAAAGTTTAATATATAGGGGATAAATCCCGTCCCTTCTTTGAAAAAGGTTGTAAATCAAAATGATATACAAAAAGGTATGAAAATGTGTGATTTGCAACAACAATCATAGCTTTGCAGAAATGATATTTTTTATTTAATTCAATATATTTATTAGATATTAACATCTTTATAGATTTCTTATGACTTTTTAAAGGTTAATTTTTAAATTACCACCCAAAAATGTAATAATTTTCGAACTAACCACCCGTTTAATTTTTTATTTTAAATTAGCACCTCTTAAATTAAATAAATGCTCAGATTACCACCCATTTTAAAAATCCGGTGGATTTTCTGTCTGTAGGCCCCACCTAACACTTATTTTGACCATTTTAACTGATTTTCCTCGATTTTTCTCTTTTAAAACGCTCCCAAGTAGTTTTTCGAGAGATACTTACCTCTAATAATTTTGAAAGATTTTCAAGCAAAGGTTTATTAAACCAAAGATGGATTTGGAAGAGAGGGTATCATAAAGTCAATCTTTCGAAACTATAATTCTGACTCTAAAATGACCTCTTCCAACTCTCTTATTCACAAATTCATTATTGTTGGGCAATTATATGCAATGTGATACCTAAAGCTCAGTAAGTGTTTTTTTATTGACAAACAAAAATCACAAAAAGTCTACATTGCAATGAATGTCGTTACTCTTATTTAATCTTAATTTGTGAAGAAGAGAAAAAAAAAAAAAAGAATTCGCCAAACCTCTTACATTGTAAAACGATAATTAATAAAAATTCAAGTCTTACATAACGAACACATATTATATAGATATATAGATTAATTATCTTTATTTAAAGTGATCAAGAAACACTAGTTTGTTTATTAAAATTATTTAAACATAAATAAGGATGGTTCAACTAATTACTAAAAAAACTAATCATTCTCCTTTTGATAAATCTCTTTCTTGTGTGTTTATGGAGTTCCTCTTTTTTCTTATGCTCCAACAACTTGAAAGGATTTAATTAAGATTAGACGGTATTAGGGACAAAGCTAAGTATTATGAGAGTATGAGATATTAGGGTTTTCATAATTTGGTGGCAAATTATCTGATTTTTATGCTACTAGCTAGGTCTAACCAACGTCTATTTATAGGTGTAGAATCTACAATCAGGGTTTTAGAGGCATAGCGTCAAAGGATAGATGCACACAACAAAAAAAGTTGTAGTAAAAGTGAGGGATAACTCAAGTGGTTAGAGTTTTCCTCCCGATTTCAAGAGTACCTGGTATCGATTCTCGCCCCGCCCTTGTGGCTTTTTAAACACACACACAAAAAAAAAAAAAAAAAAAAGTTGCACTCAGATACCAATAGTCGCGCAAAGCAGTCACACGCAAATTAGAGAATTGCGAGTGTCCCAATTTGTCTTTTCGAAAATACAATTTAGTAAATTAAAACTTCCAGAATTTTCGATTTCGAACTTGGAATACAATAAATAAGACATCATCAGAAATATTTGGAAGTCTAGTTTCTACAATTGTAAAACAAATACAATTACAATCAGACATGTTGTATTATATCCACATGTATAATCCTTGAACGACAATTATGAGATTTGGTCAACTCTTGACTTGGTTTTCAACAATATAAGGTATATTTGACCTAATAATTGCATTTTACGTGCTTACATACGTCATTAATCAAGATGAAACATGTGCGAGCATGTTTTAGCTGTAATGATAAGTGGATTGTTCTCTAAATGATTAGTCTCAAAATGAATTCCAAATTACTTAACGTTACATAGGTTACGTTACGAAATCCACAAACACTTCAACCGTATTTGGGGCAGAGTAGGTGGGGCAACCGCCAGGGCCCAATATTGTGAAGTCTAAAAATTGGTTAAAAAAAGGGCCTCAAAATGACTGAAACTACTTAATGCTCCGTACAATTCTTGTGTAATTCGTTAGTTTCCAAAGCATATTAAGGTCTTGTCATCGATCTTGTGTAGTTTGTTAGTTTCCAAAGCAAATTATTAAAGGTTCCAATTCCCCTGATTTTTGCTTCTAATGGAGTAAGTTATTTGCTCAATGAATCCCCTTTTTGATATTTCTAAAATTTCAATTACAGTCCGTAGCTCTAACTTTGTTTAAATAAAAAAAAAGATTTTTTGACTTTTACAACAAAAAAAAATCTCGAAATTGTTTTTTACTACCAAAAATTTTAAAAGTTTTATTTTACCACCAAAAAAAAAATTAAAATTTGTTTTTTACCACCTCCCGTCAAAAACCTAACGGAATATTTTAAATTCTTCGATTTTTGTGTCAAACACATCATATTTGGGGGGTCTTGGGGGGCATTTTGGTCTTACGGGTTCAATTTGAGGTCGGAATCGACAAAAAATGATCGGAAATACTTCTTTTTGTGCATTTAAAAATACCTCGGTTTACGTGAAACACGCAAAATGAGGCATTTTCGATTATTTTTTGTCAATTCCGACTTAAAATTGAACCCATAAGGCCAAGATGCCCCCCTAAACCTATGAACAACATGTTTTGCGCACGAAAATCGAAGAGTTTTTCTTAAAACCGTTAAATTTAACGGTTTTCTTAACGGTAGGTGGTAAAAAACAATTTTTAGAAATTTTTTTGGTGGTAAAAATACAACTTTTAAAATTTTTGGTAGTAAAAAACAATTTCGTGATTTTTTTTGGTGGTAAAAGTCAAAAAATCCAAAAAAAAAACTTATTTTTTTTGCTTTCAAAAATCTAATTAATATCTTGATTTTTGAATGGTTTCGTTCAAAAATTTCAATATGTGATAAAACTTTCTGAATTGCTTACTAAATTGTTGTGAAGGTTCCTAATATTTCAAGGTTTGTGTTCAATCTTCTTCATGTCTTTCAATTAGAATATTAATTTCACAATTTTTTTAAAAAATAAAATATTGGTAAATCGAGTTCAACCATATGAAATTTGTAAGGTTTGTGCTCGACAATCTACTTTTTAATAAGATTTTAATTAAGATAAATTAATGAATTGATGCAATTAATTAGAAATTTCATACTACAAGGGGTTTATCTTCATATATATATATATATATATATATATATATATATATATATATATATATATATATATATATAGTACGTTTTCAATCTTTTCATTGTGTTTTAGTTTTCATATTTGATATGTAATTTCGAGTTTGATTTGAGGAGGCTATTCTTCATTTTGCGTACCCTTAAACCTCAATAATAATAATAATAATAATAATAATAATATAATAATAATAATAATAATAATAACAATAATAATAATAATTAATAATTAATTGATGCCCTAAACACTAGAGCATAGAAGAGAGAAGAGAGAATTAATTGATGCCCCGTACATCAGAAATGAGGGGGTATTTATAGGGAAAATGAGCAGAGGGAACACACGGAACCCTAAAAGGGATAAAAACCCTAAAAACACTGCCGCGACACGGGAAAAGCTTGTGTGACGCAGGACAGTCTAGAGTGACACGGGAAATAATTAACCTATGGGAGTTAAAAACGCGTGAAGGGTTTACGCGGAGAAGACACGGAGCTGTCCCGTGTCACGGTATTGGCACCGTGTCACGGGAGAATATGTCGTGGCGCGACACAGTATGCCGTGATACGGCAAACTCTGCTTTATTTTTTCCGTCTAAATACATTTTTACCCTAATTACGTTCAGCCTTTTTAAGTGTCGCTTCATAATTTCGGGCTATTTCAGGTTTATTATTTATTAATTGGGCTAAAATAATAAATAATAATGGGAAATGAATAAAAAGGTTTGGGCCAAAATAAAAAATTAAACTATGCTTTGTTTAAACATTAGGACTGATCCGTTGACTATTTTATGAACTGAATTTTATTGAATATGGATTTTAAGCACTCCCGAGATTAAATACTGAACCCGACCAATAATAGCGGTGAAAGATTGTTCATCATCGGATTTGGTTTCGGGGAGAAATTTTTAGGTGTCTATATGGAGAACACTTTGAACCTCGTCGTTGGGGACGCATCTCCTCAACAAACCATCGACCCCTCTCTTCAACAAAATCGGATCATCCCAAATGTATCTCTTTGCCTCATGCTTGAGCTTTCGACGTTGTTGTGAAGTGAAATCCGGAGGTATGGCACCACAAGCCAAATAATTCACAATATCCGCATACCATGGTGCCGAATTCACTTCAAGAACATATAGCACATCATCCCTTAGATCATCCTCTATTGGAAAACCATCATCTTTGAACCTTGCACCGCCCAACCTTGAAAGGTGATCCGCCACCACA